TATAGCCCCTTTCCCCTACCAGTGCCTGTGGTAAAAGGGGAAGAATCCTCAACGGCGATGGGCATATGGCACTCGCGCAAGTGTCTTGAGGATTACCCGAACCATCTTACTATGTAGGAAGGTTGAGGCGCCGGTCTTGGTGCAGAGGAGGGGGTGGGCTCGGCTCAAGAGGTCCTTGCATGGTAACAATGCACCTGCACCACAAAGTTTAAGACTTGGTAGTGTTGACCAAATATATTTCGGCTGTAGGTAGGCGGTGGTTTATGTTCCAGGTCCGATTTTCTATCTTCACTGAGTTTTCCCGCCTTCCCTGCTTCCAACAGGTAATCTCCTTTGAAGGCGTGGGTTAAATCATCACTTGTGGCAAGTATAGTCCATTACTGCCCAACAGCTTTTTCAAGCTTGTCTTTGGTAATGATCTCCTCCAGCTTCTTGAGCGAGTCAATCAGAGCCAGTCCTGTCGGTAGCTGGGCAAGCCGTGGCAGACATTGCTCAACTGTGTATCCTGTCGATGCTTGCACTGATTTGGAGAACACTAGCGCTTGCCCTACCACAAGAGCCGATTCTCGAATGAGAACATTGCTCGTGATTCCTAGTCCTCCTTCAAGCATGGGTAGGTGCACCTGTGCTCGAGCTGTCCCTTTGAAGAAATCTATCTCCTCGCTCTTAGTCGGGTCTGTGCGTACTTCTTTGTCCGGTGGTATTCTCATGCTGTCGGCCATCTTCCCGAGGACGATCTTACTCATTGCCCACATCATCATGTTATCATGGTTTCTTGCTGCAGAGTTGGTGATAGACGGTGCAATCGTCCTCAGCAGATAGAACAAACGTGGCACACCAGATAAACGCAGCCGTTAATAGCTGCATGAGGGTCGTCAAGCGTTACTAGGCGGAGCATAAACTCCACCGGGTCACCACCGGCTAGTTTGGAGACGAAATTCCTCTGGAGCTCTTCTGTGCCTACTGGGATCCCCACTACTGGCATGCCACGTTCAGCAACTGACAGACCAATTTTCGTCAATTGTTTCTGTTCGTCGTTTGTCAAAGACGACATGCGAAGACCTTCCGGGAAAAGCACTTTGGATTTCGGGAGACTGAACTTAATCTCTTTTTGGTAGAGACGTTCCTCAATCGCATTTGTTGCAGTGGATATGGCCTGCATATTCCTAGCCGAACCTGGTGGAAGATACGCATAGAGGTCGTCGACGTATCCGATGAGTTTGACTCCTGGCACTGGTGGGTTGTTGAACTCTTTCATGATATCAAGGAGTCCTACACAGAAGCCGGACCCTCCCAAATTACAGCTTTGGTGAACTCCGCGCCGTGAAAGAACAACCTCGATCGAACCATCTTGCATTTTAAACAGAAGTGTGTGTGTGTCTTTTATTATTAGCATCGACCGCGCTAGCCGGCTTACCAATGAAAAGACGTCAGTCTTAGTGCGGTTGAAAGCACAAAACACTTCTATCTGCCGTGAACTGGGACCCCGTGAGGGGGCAGCATGGGGGAAGCTAAACTATCCTTCGGATTAAAAACAGAAACAGCAGCAACAGACGAAAAATGCACCCGTCTTCCAAGGCTATTACCTAGTACTCGAGTTCGTTTAGGAGTAATTTCATCAGTATCCTCCTTGTTTTCGCTACCATCATTCTGATCCTCATTTTGACAAGAAGAATCTCTGGGCAGTTCTTCCCTAGCCCTACGTTTCTTGTTGTGGGGAAGGTCATCTGGCTCAAACCCTTTGCTCTCTTCCACTCCTCCATGTTTTCCTCCATCGTCGTCTTCGTCCTCCTTTCTTCCCTTTTCCTTTCCTTCGTCTTCGTCACTCCCAAAAGAATTACCCTCATTACTATCGTTGTCGCAGAGATCCCAACCGATTGGCCCTGGTGGAAGTTGGTCGATCAGTAGCCCATGACGTTTGAACACATCGCGAGTTCGCATCGACAGAAAACGAGCTAGCTCGAAGGTAAACCGTCTCCGAATCCTGTTAGTATGAAAAGCTGTAAGGCGAACTAAGGCCCTTTCGTCTTCAAAATTCCTCCGGCAAAAAGCTTCGTGCGCCAAGTGGTTGACGATAGCAACGATAAGTCGATTGGTGCCTTTGCCAAGACCACCATTCGTTGAAAAAGCAGCAGTAAGGAGGGTAGATCTAGACGGGTTGAAAGTTCCCGCATAGTGATTTGCCTTACTTGCAGCTCGATCTTCGAGGGCGGATCCTCGACTTGTCGATGCTTCGACCCGCGGATGGGTTGACGATTGTTACGTATATGAGAATGGGCTTGATGCAGAGTTCCTCTTCCTTCTCTCCTGCGTGTAGTCCTGGGGGGATTACCAAATCCATCTTGTATAGCCCCTTTCCCCTACCAGTGCCTGTGGTAAAAGGGGAAGAATCCTCAACGGCGATGGGCATATGGCACTCGCGCAGTGTCTTGAGGACTACTCGAACCATCCTGTTATGGAAGAACGTTGAGGCGCCGGTCTTGGTGCAGACGAGGGAGTGGGCTCAGCTCAAGAGGTCCTTGCATGGTAACAATGCACCGGTACCACAAAGTTTGCCTGTGTTGCAGTCTGATCGATCGTGACTCCCCAGTACACGACCGATTGACTCTCGATATAGATCAGGCAGCATTCTTTCATCTGCTGACAACCGTTGTCAACCACGACAAAACGTGTGTGTGTGTGTGTGTGTGTGTGTTTATTATTAGCATCGACCGCGCTAACCGGCTGACCAATGAAAAGACGTCAGTCTTAGTGCGGTTGAAAACACAAAACACTTCTATCTACCATGAACTGGGACCGTGTGTGATGTCGCACACACTCAATTCGCATCCGGAGCTCACGCATCGCTTCACGTCTACACCCAAGACTCAGTATTGCCAGAGAGCTTATTTCCGCACTAGTGTCCTGATGATCTGAGATAGAACGGTGCATTATTCCCACACCGCCGTTGGTTTTTTTCTGTCGTTTGGCGGTTGGCAGACCGCATGCCGCTCACAACCATGCACCACACACTCGTGTGACACAAATATGTCCGAACCATGCTCCGCACCCTCTCTCCTGACGTCCCCAAAATTTTTTCATCGCTCTGCCCCCTTCCTGACACCGCCATGACATCAACTAACTGCTGGTTATGCATATGGGAGGGTGGTTCAGAGGTAGTAGACATATATATGGCTCTCCAGGAACTGTACGCATGCCTGTTCTGTTCTATGTTACGAAAAGTTGTGAGACATGTGACGGCAGGCGCTTGCTTGACAGATGTTGTATCGTAGTGACCCCAATAACCAACGGAACAAATCGCCGTGGCCGGAATTGCAATCAGAGCCGTGGCCACAATTCTTTGGGCATGAATGTGTCCCAGCCAATTAGAAGCCTTCAATATGATATATGCCAAATATGTATGTATGCAACCCCGCACTTTCCACCTCTTTCTACCGCAGCTTTGGACCAAAGCGATCCCCATGGTCTAGGGGATAAAGGAAAAAAAATGAGAGCAATCGTTGTGGAGGCAAGTTATGCCGGAAATGGTGGTACGACTGCCGCGATTTGGCGTCGTCAGATTTCCATGGACGGATTTATATGGGATAAAATACACAGAGAGTCTCGTGCTTGTTTGCCTTGTATATTTCGAAATAAGTATTGAGTAGCCCTCAGATTTTGAAATCACATGCAACATAGTTCCGCAATCCGCAAAAGAAGAGATCAGACGATGCTTGCAGTCCTGACAGGCGTTGTGGCGTCCTCGGTGTGGAAATCCCGAAAGCCGGTTCCAAATATATGAATAATACCAATTTATTTATTTATTTTTTGCCTTCCGACAATTGCAGATGTACCTCAGAAAAATTTCACTTAATGTCTCATACTCTACATGAATATTAAACCAATACGAAGTACAACAACATATGTAGGACTTATTTCTACTGTCATTTACATCGTAAAANGAGCCTGGCACGCAGCCTTTAGCGGTACAAGTGGGGAGACCGTCCGAAAAAGTTCGAGGACAAACCTTTTCGACGGGCTGTACGCCGACCCCGCCCGAGCACGAGACGGGGCACGCGGCCGATGCAGTGGTCCTGGGCGAGGAACACGGGTGGCGTCGGGGGATGGAGCCAAGGGGAGGTTTGCGGGGTTGAACAAAAAACGATTGAAGCACAAAAGGCACGAGGAGAGGAAGAAGACACCGGAACAACGAGCGCGAGAGCGAGAAGCGCGAGAGCGAACGCGAGAGCGAACGCGAGAGCGAGCACTCAAAGCGCAGAGAAGGCGGGAGAACACGCCGCGAGAGAAGGAGCTCTTGGACATCTACCAGAAAGTGGTGGACGCTATCGACAAGGTGAATAAGTATGCAATGTATTTCAGAGTGTTGCGTGGTAGTGTTGTTGCCGTTGATTAGTTTGCTGCTAGCATACTGCTTCCCTCGTGGCTGCTGTTTCCTGTATCCTGGATTTGTTGTGGAGCTAGTGCCACTGCCGAAACCATTCCTGCTTGTCTGTCAATGATAATTTGCAACTGTTGAATGCAACCATGTCCCTCAATCTGACGCCTTCCCGGTTTTGATTGCTTGAATTTCAATTTCTGTGCACACCTCCGTACAGGCGGAGCAGTCCAACAGCTACAGCGGTATTGTGGAGGACCCGACGGAAATGCTGACGGAATCTCGTCTCCCGTCCATCATGCGTACCGCCTTGGCGATTCGGGCGTACGCTGTCCTCGAGTNTTTCTGCTCTTTGAGATCGCCCTTGCCCTCTGGTTCGTGGCATGCTCTGTACATACACACAATGTTCCCTGGCGAAGTGGTTGCCGAGTAGCATGTGTAGCTGGTACGTTTGGTGATTATCTGTTTGTTGCATTTTTGGACCCTCTTCCTATGTGTGACCGGGCGCACGGGGTACGTTGTGTATTTCTGCCATGCTCTCTTCAGAGTCGTAACGCCGAAGGCTTGAAGAGTATTCTTGTGTGAAGCACCCATCGTTCCCATGTTGACGTCGTTGCCTTCAGGATTGAGGAAGGTGTCAACAAGATGCGGCACAGCCGCTACGTCGGAGATGTGGTGAAAACCACAGCGCAGACGGTGCGCAAGTGGGTAAAGGAGTTCTGCCAAGACGGAAAATTTCTCATCAGAAAACGACTTTACGAGATAAGCCAGGCGGACTCCTTCATCGACCATGAGGACATCGCCGAGCGTTGCCGGGAGGAAATCGACCGGCGGCTTTACCGCCGGAAGAAAACGGATCCGCGGTTTCGTGTCTCGGACTTTCAGAGGTAAGGGGACGGACGTGAAAATGAGAGAGCGCGCGGTTAGTGTTCCTGTTGGGTTGAACGGCGTTGGTTTTGTGTTCGTCTTGTGTGCGCCCGTGTGTTGTGGATACATGTGGACTAATTTCTCCAACTCTCTTCTGTTACCGCTTTCCTCTCCACTGCAAAATAGGTGGGTGAACACTGTTCTTCTGAAAGAAGTGTTTTCCGGCGGAGGAGGCATCTCTCGGACAACGGCGCACAGCTGGATCTGCAGACTCGGCTTCAGGTGGAAGAAGAGCGGGAAGTGCGTCTACGTCGATGGCCACAACCGCCCGGATGTCGTCGAGGCCCGGCAAGAGTACGTGGCGAAGATGCTCATCCTGCGAAAGATGATGTCCATGTGAGTGGCGCGGAGAGACTGGCCCGGGGCAGGCTCCTACTTGCGGCAAATAGTCGTTCAAGGGCAGGCGGAGACAAGCTGTTTGTTGTTTTTTGTCCTCTAGCGTCGTTCAGTGCCTTGCACGACCAAACCAGACTGCCAGAGTTGAGCTTGATACCGCGCCGCTACCTGGTACTTTTTTTTTCTCTTGGTGGGTTGGCACGTTCCTGTACGTGGTTGCTGGTGATGAAAATCACCGGAAAACTATAATCGTGGCGTGCTTCTTTCCCCGCACTGCTGTACAGGATAAACGTAGTCTCCCTTGTGATCCCCCGACCCCCAAAAATCGACCGGCCAGTAATCAAAAGCTTGGACCCCGGGAGGATCGTTGAAAAAAAAAAACTTCCCCCTCTCGTCCATTTTTTTTGTTCCCCCGGCAGAGCGATGAAAAAGGAAACAGCAACAGTGTTCCCCCCGCCGGGACCACCAAGCAAATAGCGGTGTTCTTGAAGTACATGGTAGCTTTGNGTGACGATGGCGAGAGTACGCGACGCGCCCGAAGGGGGGGGCGCATCTACTGGGGGAGGCGACGACGACGACGTCGTTGAGGGATGGGCAACCGGTTCGGACCCGCTGTTCTGGCCAGCAGTTCGAAGCACGGCGGACGGCAAGGAGGACGTCAAGCACGTGCTAGTTCACGGCGAACTTCGGGCCGAGGGGGGGGAACGTGGCTGCACGCGTGTACCGGTGGACAAGATTAACTTGGTGATTCGCGATGGCAAGGGGGACTACAGCTTGGTGCCCGATCTTCAAGTGCGTGACTTGTACGTGGCGAAGAAGAAGAAGGAGGAAGCGCTTTTCTGGCCAGCCCGGCGGATCGTGGATGGAGAGACGGAGTACAAACACGTGCACGTCCACGACGGCGAGCGTCCCTGCGGGGACTGCGTGCGGATAAAACCGAACGCTCTCAGCGTCTCACTGCGGTGCGAGTGCCGCGACTGCAAACGCAAGCCGTCGAAAGCTCTTCGCGGGTCCCTTTCAATCCGCGTGACCTGCTGGGGCGGGACGGGCGAGGGGATTTCTGCTTGGTGCCCGACCACAAGGTCCTCGCCCTCTACTTTCACGACGAGACCACGGCGAAGGAGAACGACGACGGCAGCAACCAGTGGGTGTCGGTGTTGAAGGGCGCCGCCATCAAGAAGAAGGGGGAAGGACGCGCCGCGCACATCTCTGACATCATTGGGGTGGATAGAGGGGTCGCAGCGATAGGGAAGGAGGCCTGGGGCATGATGCAGGAAGACATGAACGTGGTCGAAGATGAGGAGAACCCGGTTGAAGTCGCGCGGCCGGCTCCCAAGGACCGGGAGGCGCCGACGCATCGGGTGTTTCCCGGACGCTACGAGCGTTCCGGGATCTACTTCGGCAGGAAAGAGGGTGAGGGGAAGGACGGCCATGCCGTGAAGCTCGTGCAGGATGCCGTCGAGCTGCTGAAAGGGATTCCCGGCGCCTGCCAGGTGAAGAAAACGAAGAACGACCCTTCCACGGCGGCGGTCATCTTGACTGTAGCGCAACACCAAGACAGGTACTGGAACTGCGTACGGATGTTGGAGCAAATTCCGGGGCTCATCGCCATCCACGAGCTGACAAGCGAGCCACACCGGCAGCTGGTCATGGTCTTCGACAACTCTACCGGGCACTCGGCGTTCGG